AAGCAAAAGAATGGAAAAATATGATAAATATATGGAATTATTCTTTAAAGAAGCCATAATAATAAATTACAAATATAAATCTGCAACAAATTATTATTCTATTAAGTATATCTGGTTTTTATACCTGAGGAAGCAAAGTATTTTCTATTTAAATATCTTCCAAAAATAGACATGCTTTTTGTAAGGTCTTTTTTTTTTCTTTTTTTAAACCCAACAGAACAGATTGGCTGCATTGTCTCAAAGTGACTTATACTGATTTAAACTAGATGAAAATTTAGACTAATAAATTTAGGTTATCTTCTTATAATTCTCTGAGTTAGAATAAAAAGAAATGAAAGTCGATACACAGAAGGAACAGAATGTAAACACAGATTTTATACCAAGTAATCCTGGTATAATCATTCTTCCCTTAACAGCAGAGGTTTTAATCATATCAGACCCATAGAGTTGTTCAAAAAGAAGGTCACAGACCCACAGTCTTTCCAATTCTATTTCTTCAGAAAAAAATGAAATTCACTTCATATTTAAATAATATTTAGTATAAATATATTGTATTAGACACTATGGAAACTTCAAATCATCAGTAAAGGCTCCAGTTATAAAGGGTAAACAAATCAGTATGATCAGTGGATGGTTTATACTTAAAATCACCACATCCCAAGGAACAAATTTCATGGGGACACAGGAACCTTTGGAGACTCATAAGAACAGGAATCAGTCTTGAATATCTTAATTGGGTGGATAGTTGAACTCAAGGAGTTGCAGTCAATGGCTCGATGTCCAAGTGGAGACCAGTGACAAGTGGTGTGCTCAGGGGTCCATATTGGGGCCAGCACTGTGTAATACCTTTGTCAGTGGCATTGAAAGTGGAATTGAGGGCACCCTCAACAAGTTTGCTGCTGACACTAAGCTGTGGATTTCCTGACTGAATTCGTTGAAATAATCCATTATAATATTGTAAACTTTTGCTTCAGCAGTGCAGCCCTGTGGAATTTACCTGGTTGTTTGACATGATTGTTTGCTTCTTGCTCTTAGATTTCCTGGTCTCCACAGTATGTCGCTGGCATTGTCATCGTCCTAGTGCCCCTGTCAGTATTATAGTCTTAGAAATCCTGTGCTTTCCTACTTAGATGAGAAATCCCAATCCATACTGATCCTATTTTCCTTATTAGTGCAGTGAACTCATTTATCTAATTTGGTTCAGATATTTTAGTGTTTAACGCTATTCCTCTGTCAGATTGAACAGTTTTTCCTATGTTTGTGTACTGAACACAGTAAGCATTTAATTTAGCATTTTTCTTTCACCGTGTTTTTATATGTTTACAATGTTATTAAAGTAATTTAAAACTCATCATAATACACTTTCAGGAGACTGAGAAGATTATGAAAGAATAGGATTACCAGTATTAAATAATAGAAGGTCTGTACAAAGAATTAGAGAGAAATGCAGATTTTTTTTTTTTCTATGTGAGTATTTATTAATGTCCTACTTTAAACCACCTCTGATTGTCTAGGCATTGTAGATGCCGTTTTCTTTGAGACTATGAGTCTATATTCATTAAATGCTACAGTGATTTTCACTCTCAGTCTTATTTAGCATGCTTGGTAGTACTTTAGATCTGAAATGATGAATCACACCCTTCCTATTTTAAATTTAGAGGATCTGGGAAACACAGCTTAGATTTTAGCCTGGTTCTGGATTCATAAAACCTCTTTTCCATTACAGTTATGCGTGAAGTTTCTGTTTACATATCACTTTTTGGCTTGATTACAGCCTTTGGGAAATTATTTTTATTTACTTTCTTTGTTCAGTGGAAAGTTAAAGGCATTCAGAGAGGGATTTTTGCTTGTGTTTTTGATCTGTTTAATAACAGATGAAAACATCAAAACAAGACACTAGATCCTGACAGAGATAGAAAAAAATCAAGTTACAGGAATTTTCATTATAAATAGATGTCTAATTACAATGCAACAGCCCTTGAATTTATGTAATTACACATACTCAAAAATCTCTATGTCATTGCCATAATGAAAAAGCCATCATTTCTGTTCAAAAGCACTTCAGAAAGCAAAATTAAGTCTGCCAGCACATTCAATTTGTCCATCTTTCACAAAAATTGTATCCTATCTTCAGTAAGGAAATTGGTGTTCTGTCGAAAGCAAAGTAGTTATAAGAATTGCTCAAAAACAAGAGCATCATTCTTATCACTCCTTGAAATTAAAATTGTAAGTATTTCTCTTCCCCCTTTCTCCCTCATCTGTTTCATTTCATGAGCATGTAGGTCCCTGACCTTGGCCTGATGGACAATGAAGTTAAAACTGCAAGCACTTAGTATTTCTTTCCACACATCAGGGAAACTATGTTAGGAATTTTAAATGGATGAACAGCTTAACTAATATTTAATTTATAAGAGATTTAATGTATGCCATTTTATGGTAAACAATAATAGGAATTTTTTTTACTGTCAGTAAAAATATGAAATACTGCAACTAGAAGAAACAAGATTAATTGTTTTTACATATTAAAACATATGTTTAAGTATATGTTAGGATTTATCTTATTTGATTGCAATTAGTAAACAGTAATAAACATGAATCTTCTGGCTGGTTATGCCCTCCATGGTTCCTGAGCTGCTCATTCTAAACCAGTTTCCTAGCCTTCAGATCGTAAACAAGGCTGCAGTTTCATCTGCAGTTATGTGCATTCCACATGTCAGGTTATAAACTTGATTAGAGAAGTAAAATTGAACAGAATGTAGAAGTTGCCAAAAATTATTAATGAATATTGGCAGGAAAACTAAGATTCCTTTCGAGTTAGGCATGTAGGGTTGGTGTTCTGTAGAGACATTCACAGTATTTTTGTTGTCTTAGTGATTTTAATATTCATTATTAAGTATAGTATAATATATAAGTATATTCAGTATAAGTATAATCAGCAGTAAAATGTGTTGTAAGAAGAGAGTTAAATTAGTTTATCAGGCCATATTACGTAGCAGTGATTTCTTAAATCCCCATTTGGAATTTTCTTTCTTCTGTGTTCTTTGAATACTCCTACATAAACCATAGAAAGTGTGTTGGCATTACAGCTTGCATTTCTTTCCTGTTACATTATGTAATTTTCGATCCATCCTCAGTCTTTCATTACTATTTTATTCCTAGAAAATATTAATCCCACGTTTCATTCAGAGGCTAAGGTCCAAGGCTAAGGTTCATCAAGATGAACAGGATTCTCACATTATTTTTATGCTGGTTGGGGGGAAGATTCAATTCACTGCAATTCTTAAAAATAAAAAGGCTGAGTAACCCACTGGACATGAGTGAAGTCCTCATATTCTGTGGGACCCAAGGAGATTCATCCGGGAGTTTTGAGGAAATGGGCTGAAGTAGTTCCCAAGACGCTCTCCATGACGTATGAAAAGTCATGGCAGTCAGGTGAAATCCCAGGGGATAGAAAAAGGGAAACATTGTACCCATCTTTACAAAGGGTAGAAAGGAGGACCCTGGGAGCTACTGACCTGTCAACCTCACCTCTGGGCTGGGAAAGGTTATGGAACAGATCCTCCTGGAAACTGTGCTAAGGCACGTGGAGGACACGGAGGTGATTTGTGACAGCCAGCACAGCTTCACCAACCCAGTGACATTTTGTGGTGGGGTGACTGTATCAATGGACAAGGAAAGGGCTACAGATGTCATTTATCTGAATGTCTGTAAAGGCTTTGACAAGGTCCCTCCCAGCATACCTCTCTCTAAATTGGAGAGGCATGGATTTGGTGGGTGGACTGTTCGGTGGGTAAGGAATTGGTTTGTTGGTCACACCCAGAGGGTAGCAGTCAACAGCTCAGAGTCCCGATGGATATCAGTGACAAATGGTGCCCTTCAGGGGTCTGTATTGTTACTTAGTATCTTCATCAATGACAAAGTGACCAAGTGCCCCCTCAGCAAATTTGCAGATGACACCAAGGTGAGAGGTGTGGTTGCCACCCCTGAAGGACAGGATGCCATCCAGAGGGACCTGGACAAGCTTGCACAGTGGGTCCATGGGAATCTCATGCACTTTAACAAGACCAAGTGCAAGGTGGTGCACCTGAGTCAGGGCAACTCCTGGTACCAATCCAGGTTGGGAGATGGGCAAATGAAGAGCAGCCCCGGCGAGAAGGACGTGGGGGTGCTGGTGGGTGAGAGGCTGGACATGACCTGACCACGTGCACTCACAGCCCAGAAAGCCAAACATGTCCTGGGCTGCCTCAAAAGCAGAGTGGGCAGCAGGTAAGGGAGGGGATTCTACCTCTCAGCACTGATGAGACCCTCCTGGTGCACTGCATCTAACTCTGAGGCAGAATTCAATGAAAGCCTTTAAATGCCTATAAGGCACTGAACACAAACTGGTTTTCTTTACCGATGTACTTCTTTCACCATATTATTTATTAATGTAGATGGTATATGTAGATGCACCATTTTCTGAGAATGGTAATTAATACATCTTCATCCTCAAATATTGAAAACTCATACTTAGTATATTGCTTAGTTGTCAAAATTATTCAGAATTTAGAATGATACTTCAAATGCATTTTAGAACATCTACTTCTTCATATAAATTTGTGATTTGTGAGTACCGTGGCTAAGAATATTTTCAAGTCAAAGTGTAGCTGTGGACAAAAGATAACAATTTTTTTTGCTTTTACAACATTTTAGTGGTCCACTTAAAAAAAAAAAAAAGGTACTAGAACTAGAATTCAGTGAAAGCCTTTAAATGCCTATAAGGCACTTCTTGTTTGCTTAGGTGTGAAGCTTGATAAGCTCTTCTTTCTTCCTGAAATATTGTTTTCCTTCTGGCTTAATTACATAGATAGATAGATAACTAGATGTATATGTTTTACGTATACATATATATATATATATATTGAGTGTATTACTTTAGAGATATTTAGGTAGTGTATCAGGGCCATATGTAACATTTTGTTTCAACCTATTTATCTGAACACAAGATGTTGAATATTCAGGATCACATAGGAAGAAGGAGGCAAAATGAAGTAACACACAGGATTCAAACAACCATTATACAGATTCCAAAGTCACCATCAAGACCCGCCATAAAAGCTATTGAACCCAAAAAGTTCCTAATGAAGAAAATAGAAGCAGAGGTAATAATCATCCATATTCTTTTAATGTTAACTATATTAACTCAAAAAATCATGATTTCTGGGAATGTTTACACTTACAAATACTGCACTTGTGCAGTCCAGAAGTTGCTGATATGTAACTGTAATAATGATATAGTAGACTCAGCCAGTGAAAATTGGGATGAATATTTATATGATCATAATTCTGCATTTGTTTCTTGATAAAAATTGTTTTGATGTAAGAGAAAGTTCTTACTGAATTTATACCATAGGTAGGTACTAATTTGACTGCTGGATTCTGGGCTGCATCCAGAGCAAGGTGGGCAGCAGATCGAGGGAGGGGATTCTGCCCTCTTGCGACCCCACCTGAAGCACTGTATGGAGCTCTGGGGTCCTCTCTACAGGAATTACATTGATCTATTGGAGCAAATCCAGAGGAGGCCACTGAGTTGATTAGAGGAATGGAGCACCTTTCCTAGGAGGAGAGTCTGAGAGAATTGGGATTATTCAGCAAGAAGAGAAGGCATCAAAGTGACCTAATTGTAGCCTTCCAGTACCTGAAAGGAGCCTTCAAGAAAGATGGAGAGAAACTATTTCCAAGAGCACGTAGTGACAGGAAAAGGGGAAGTGGCTTCAAACTGAGAGGCAGTAGGTTTATGTTAGAGATTAAGAAAAAATTCTTTAATGTGAGGATGGTGAGGCACTGGAACAGGTTGCCCGGAGAAGTTGTGGATGCCCCATCCCTAGAAGTGTTGAAGGCCAGGTTGGACAGAGCAAAAAGCAATCGGCTCTAATGAAAAGTGTCACTGCCCACAGCAGGGGGGTTGGAACTATGTGATCTTTAAGGTCCCTTCCAACCAAAGCTTTCCTATGATTTAGTCTCCATAGATAGGCCTGTAGAGGGTGCTTGATGTTGTCTGTGGTGATAAGGCTTAGTTAAACTTTTTTTTTAAATAAAATTAATTTGGGGGTTTTCTTCTGATTTTTTTTCTGTTTGATTTTTTTTGCTGCAACTCCTTCCTGCTTATTCTGTGACAGCAGTTCTTCAGAGTGTGAGTACTTACAACAACCTACCTAGATTCTTTGTAGTCAGTCAGGAAATAGGCACTTCTCAGAGAAATTTGTCTTATCCTTTATTTAAAACGTAAGATGAGTCACATTCTGTAAAAGCCTATTTCTCCTCATTGACTGTATAGAGACCATATATAGCTCAGCTACAAGCTCAGCTATAGGCATTTGGTTAAATGAGGTTAAATTTGACATTCTGAAAGTATGGTCTCATGAGGGATACACAGGCGACTCAAAGTTCAGCTCAGATGGAGCCATTAAGGTGGGAACATTACTTCCTCGTTCCAAAATGGGCAAGTTACAGTGACCTTTCTAGTGTGTATTTTCCTTGACAGTTGAGTGTTTTTCTGCCCTCTATTCCCAGCAGTACTTTCACAATTGCCACTTCCAACTACAGATTCTTCTAAATCTCTGGATTTGCTTTTCTTATGTTTATTAAACAAAAATCTTTTGCCTTGTTTGTTTTTTCCCTGTACAAATTACTAGATCCTGAAACTTTGATACAGGCTAAAATTTAATGATTGAAAAGTGTATTTCCTCTTTATAATATGCTAATAAGACAAGGTTGCATGAAATAGATTTAGACTCATTAACAACTTTCCAGGTCAGAAATGGGAAATTCTCTATCTTGTTTTTCTTCCTCCAGTTCTGGCCACAGATATGTGTTGCTTACTTTGCATGTGAGCATAAAAGCTCGCTAAAATGTCTGAAAACTATCTTGGGAAAACCCGAAGCTGTTTAACTCAGTAAATCTTTAATCTTGAGATCGTATGGATGTTGTATCCTGGACACTGAGGCAGGGTGCAGAAACTGCACTACGGAGGGCTGGAAGGATGGAAGTACATCAAAAACAGGAGGAATAGGGGAAAAGTGAGGATGCAAGACTTGTCTCTCGCAGCACTGTCAGACTGTACTGTCATCTCCAGATTTAGTACAGCTGCTTTTGACTAAATAGAATCACTGAAGTTCATTTTGCCATAATCTGCTGGTCCTTACTCCAATATCAGGATGTATACCTGTGTTCTAGCCCCCAAGTTCTTGTATCAGGTGTGATTTATGAGATTCCGTAGCTATTCTAAATTATTACATGTTCATCCTCTATTATTAGGTAATTTAAATGAATTGATCTTCTAACTAGTTCTTAAAGGACCTACTAGCAAGGTACACTTGACATAAGAATATGTTCATGTTGAGCTTTGTCAGTGATATGAACATAATTCAGTAGTTTTCAGTTATGTGAATATAGTGAGAAATTAACTATTATTACGAATTATCTCATTCATTGGTTTTTCTTCACCTCTGTAAATTTTGCTGCAAACTAGTAGCTAAAGGCTCTTTTAAGAGTTGAATGAATGGATGTAGAACTATACATAAAACCTAACTATTCCTAGTAGGTTTTTGAAAAGAGTTAAAGAAAATATCAATTTTTTCCTATTAAATGAGGAATAATATATTGTGATACTATTCTACATATAGAATTTTTAAGTCTAAGATAAAATCACTGTCTCTTAAGTTGCTGCAGTAATAAGGACTACTTAATCTCTTAATGAAGTATTTCTAAAAATTCTAATTGAAATACTACAAAATTATGAAGAATAGGAAACACAAAGGAATCTTCTAGATATGCTTATAGTATTATGCTGAGCAGATTATTTTAATTTGCTATCAGATTTCCAAGTTACTTGGTCTCTTTAGGAAGAAGCAGAGGTAAAAAATCTTTTCTCAGTAATGCCAGCTTTTTATCTATTGGAGAAGTAGAAGATTTCTGACTCCAAACTGATGACTAAAATTACAAAACCCATAAGAGATAATGAAAACTCTATGGAGATATTCTTCCTGTGATTATGATGATTTATAGTACATTTTGTTTCTGAGAAGATATGATTGTTATAAAAGGATATGGTTGTTATAAAACTGTTTCCATTGGGGTTTTTTCAGGATTTTTATTTGCATGTTAAAGCCTGTAAATGTCGACAAAGAAATAAGCATTTCTGATCATAACCATAGTAAAATGAAGACACTTCTTTCCCACATGCTGCTCAGTGGGAACTTCCTTCCTCAGTGGAATCCTTAAATATGCAGGTGTTCTTTTATGTACTAGTTTGGCTGTTACTTCTTTGACGTGACATCAGTAGGTTAGCAGTAATGCAGAAATGTATGTTTGTTTCCATTGCAAAGAAATATTTTTTTCTGCATTTAGGGGAAAATATAGGATTTGCATTTGGTGCTAGGTCTGTTCATGGGCTTTTGGTTGAGCAAGCTTTTTTAGTGCATCTGATATCCTTAAAGTTGTGCATTTGTCATTTCTAATTCTATTTTCACTACTATGCTGTATGATGTTAGGTTACAGTGACTACATGTAATGAAATGCTCATACAAGCTCATCTTCAGGTTTCAAAGAAGATATATCTGTCTTTTATTTCTGATGCTATCTCAAGGCCCCATTGATGGTCATGAACATGATGCAAAAGCAGTGTTTTTACAATAACACAGTTTTTGACCAGCAGAGGCTTTGGTTGGAAAAGAAAACAAAAGTGTTCATCATGTTGCTATAGCCTTTGGCACTATAATTTCTAGATTCAACAGTGGTCTTGCTCTGTTGACTCAAACAGGAAATTTGGCTTCAGTGATACAAGTGAGTTAGACCTGGTTCAAATTGATTCCACTGCTTTTTATCCTGAAACTGTATGCGTGTCAGTTCATGAAAAACATATTTATTCTATCTAATTGTGAGAGAAACTGTGGGAGAAATCAGTTAACCAGAACCAAAAAAAACCAAGGAGGGGTAAATAGCAGCAGGAGAGAGCAAGCTTAGAAAGTCGTCAGTGCATAGTCTGGCACATAGAGGGTCTACATATTCTCGTAAGTAAAGTTATGCTCAGAGAATTAAGGTAAACATGGGGAAAGTGAAGTTGGTAGGAAGGGACTTAGAGGTCAAGAAAAAATCAAGAGTTCAACATTTAATTTTAATTAAGAGCTTTCATGATTGATTGGAATTAAAATCCAAGGTGCTGTCTATGTTGATAAGAAGGTGATTGCATGCAAATGCTCTTGAGATATTGTCAATAACTGCTAATGGTTAATTATGTCTGAGAAAAGTTGGATGCTAGTAGCTGCCTTTTTTAAGTGTCAAGATCTTGACTCAATTTTCTACTTCAAAAGAGCTGTTGATCTAATTCTAGGAATCAAATGTGAATGAAAACTGGAGACTGGATTGTTGCACAGCCAGTGGCCAAAAGACAGTCTGTAGCATAATGGTAAAGGTGTACTGGCTGCATAAATAACTATGCAAAACTCACCAGGGATGTATAATCCCTGTTAATCAAGTTCTTATATCTGTTCTCTCAATGTTCTGTGAGTCTGAAGAAATCATAAGTCTTGTTGGCAGCTACTCATTCTCTTCTTAGATTCTGGTTTGGTTTGGTTACTTTTACTACCTGTCAGCTCCTTGACCTGTAAGTTATGAGGTGGCAAAATCAGCTTTTGGTTGGGACTAAATTATCTGTGATTATCTCTCAGTGACAGTTGTTCAATGGAGTAGAAACTGCCACCTAACTTACTTCAGTTTCCATATTTGTGTTCAACATGTTTCTTGGTTTTATTACACTTTTTCTTTTGACAGCACTGTACATTTAAGATGCATGGTTATTCTTATTTTGGCTATATTAAGATAGAATTGAACACCCAAATGAAAGTATAAAAGTAGGCTACAAATTAAGAAATTAGAGTGAATAGCCAAAATTAAACCTTCTCTTTTTTACTTCTTTGTTTGGCAATGGGGTTGAATGTATCTTAAGGTCTTGGTTTTGTAATCTTTCTACATGCTTTTATGTTTTAACAGGCTAAAACTGTTAAGATTTCTAATACATAACCTGGATTAGGCTCTGCATTAGTAATTTTACAGGAATTTTTCTATTTCCATCTTGCTCAGCTAAAATAAGGAGTTATTTAATAAAACTGTGAATCAATCTCAGACAACTCTTTAT